AAAAGTATGTCGAATGAAAGGGCTATATATAATATATTTGAAAAACAAAAATTTCTGTTGATGCATATATTTTTCAAAAAGTTATAGCAATTTTAAGTTGAAAATTTTAACACAAAAATAGCATTTCTTTAACTATGGCAACCGTTTGCACGTAGAAGTTAAGTCATCGGGACAAATTTTTTTTTCAATTTATAGTGCATAATATAAGCTTTAATTTGACATATGTTTAAAGGACGCAGTATTTTCGGAATATTTTCAAAAGTTAAGTTGAAAAAGTTCTACTGTCTATACATGCTTCTTTTTTAATAATAAATTGAACACTTATGAAGGTAAAATAATAGGATATAAAATTACACATTATAAAACTATAGTTAATCTATATAACAACTTTTTTCAATTTGTTAATGAAATGTCATCGTACTTTATTGAATTGGACAAATACAAAGAATCGCTTAATACAGTGAATAAAACACGAGATACATATTCTTTATACTTTAAAAGTAACAGTAATAACATTTTTAATCTCCAATCAGCTTTGATAAATAAGTTAAAATTTATCTAAGCAATATTTAAGTAATAGATTTTTAAATTAAAACCAGATATTGCTAGGTAGGTGTCAAAAATGTACAAAATCGTAATATATAATTTTTTTTTACTAAAATAGTTTATAAATTTATATAAAACCTTGTAACGTAATAAATTATCATGAATATGAGGTCACAGGTAACTGTATTCAAACAGTCCACGTCGTACATCTGTAGGTTCAGTGTTAAATATACACATATGATTATAATCAATTTAATAATTATTAAATTTATACATGTTTCCTACTACCTGTGATCCTTATCCTAAATACCATAATAATGGTCACACTGTCAAGTACCTTCTCCCGTGGGATCAAGTTGGCATAAAATAATCTTTGTCATGTTCAAAAATCATCAGCTCTCATCATCATCACTGTTCTTCATCATCGTCTCATAAAATTTTTGACGTGTCTTTACAAATTCACAATGGAGGAGTAAGTTTTGAATTTTGCTTGGTCATGATTATGGCAACACCTTACTATTATCTGGACTTGGAAAACCATCTACAATATGTAATATGGTGTATTTGATCTTTTTGTATTTCCGCACAGTGTGCATAGCTAAATACATGGTTTTCTTTTTTGGTTAAATATTTGCCATATTTGCATTTTGTTATTTTATTAATTAATGACTATATATTAACTAATGAAATTTTACTATAATTTTATATTATAAGTAATGTCAATCCGTCTATTGTATTTTCTTTCATTCTTCTTTATCATTAGCAGTCAGTTACTCGGATGATGTCAGGGTGGACATTATGAACATCTCAATGAGTCCTCTACATTTATGTAGAGGATACTCATTGACGTTGGTGACATGTCCATTATACCCTGGCGCATGCGTTAGATCTATCATGCTCATGTTTCTTGTACTTTGTTCTTTTATTTCATTTTGTGATTTTGAAATTTGAAATTTAATATACTCCAACAAGTAATTTTGCTTCAATTAATATAGTTCTATACCTGGTGATTTGTTTTTATCAGGAACACTAAATTAAAAAACAAATGGAACATTAGGTTCAGACTTTATTAGTAATGAATCATTACACTTTGTAAAAAACACAGGCTATTTGAATGCTTGACTGTCTGTAGACAGCTTGTATGTACTATTGTGATAAATCATTATTCATTGTCCTCCCTTTTAATTATAAACATACTGTAAATTTTCTCTTATATATACTTGGCCATAACGTAATTACTATTAATTTATTCAATATTTTACTGTAGTGTTTTTGTTCTCTATATTTTCCCTTTTATTTGTAATCTGTGTATTTAATTAATTAATTTGTTTTTATGTAAAATTCTCTTTTTAAATACTTTTGTTATGTTATGAGTTTATGTTATGATAAAAAAAAATTGTCTGTAATATTTAATAAAATTTAATAATTGTACTAAATCATAGTGCATTTATAACCTTTCCCCTTAGTATAAGGTACTAAAATCCCTGGTGTTACAGCTTTGCCTCAGCCCAGGGTGGATCCTCTTCGGGGTCCTTGTAAAGTTAAACTATATCAGTTTAGCTTACAGCCTATACGTTTTTCTGGGATTTTGTATATGTTTTTAAATTACAATCATTATATTGATTAATTTTAATCATACATAAATATAAATTATATTAAATAATTAAATTTATTAGTTATACTTTTTTTTGTGATACTGAAAACATTTTTTTATGAATTATATAATATAACTGCTGACATGGTACTATGTTTCCCTTATCCACAAATTCCGTTATCGACCTATATGAAAGTGAATCGAGTTTTGAATCATAAGTGCCCAGTTTCATAGAGAAGGTTTGTTTCTACGACGTCTGGGGTAGGTGGGTTCTAATCCTCTCTTCTACAACTGCGAATACGCGTCTCTCTAGAGTTCTCGATTAAAACACATATATGGAATCTGCGTAAGTGTATAGTTCGTTCTTGGCTACAATTCTATATCAAATCTACACAGTTTTTATATTCCATTCCTAATCGCTGCGCAAAATTAACGAAAAAGAGTCAAGTCATTTTGCTGTGTGTTCGGAAGTATGTCCAGCTATAAAAATATCGGATTATTACAGAATAAAAACTTTTTAATTATTGAACTCAAGGACGTGTTAGATGCCAAAGTAGTGGAATATAACGATGATTTTACATTTGATTTTATTTCGGACTTATTAGGTTGTACATAAGAAACGCCTCTAATGTTTTCAAGTAATTTGCATCGAAGATCAACGAAGTCTAATAACTAGCTAAATGTAAGTAGTGGTATGGATGGCGAGTTTTTCCATATTGTCAACAACGGGAGAGTTAATAGCATCATATTCATGAAAGCAATAAATTTCAATTAGCATATCTATGATATCGGGATGTTGGTTCCTAAACTGGGTTACCAACGTATTCATGTCTTCAATCCGAACTACTATTTTAGTCGGATCAGCGTGCTAGTTATTAACAGTGTCATGTATATCAGATATGGATTTAAAAAAAAAAAAACACGTCATAGTAAAATTAATATCTTCTCAGCTTCTCATCGAAACTAAAAATTCAAGATTGAAAATTTCCAATTACATATTGTGACTTATGGTCTATTGATGTTATTTTATAATAAAATTTGTCTGTTATTCTAAAATTAGATAATAAATATTTTTTCAAAGAATGATACTTTCCATGAATCAATAAGACTATGAAAATTCGTTTTATTTAAGCAACACTTAAACAATATGTATATAAAAAAATGTATGTCGGTTAAAAGTGATATGTATAGTGTTTATAAAAATCATCATATATATTCATACTATTTAAAAAAAAGTTAAATTGATTCGAGGATAAAATTATGAAATATAAAATCAAATATTTCACCACAATAATAGCGTGTGTTTAAAATAAAAACTTTTGTATGAAAAGCTAACCTTATCAACTTAACTCTTAAAAAAAAAATGTTTCAGCAACTTGTTTTCTATATATCATTGTCCCTAAAAGTAAAACGAAAAATATTATTTTGTTGAAAAAAGTCAGCATTTTTCATGTTATAACTTTATATTTAATTTTTTTTTTTAATTATTTACGTCTAATTTAAGTCTTACGGCGTAAAGTAAAGTTTTAATAGTAAAACGGTAGTTTGGTAGATTTATTTATTTATGCAAATGTATTTGCAAAATTAATATTATAATTTCAATTATAGTATAGTATTATAATTTTTTGTATGTATCACTAGAAAAGTCTCTATTCCTTCTAATCGAATGATGTCAATCAATATTGCAGAAAAAGCCAAATAATTATTAATTAGAAAATATATCTCAAAAATTGCCATCTTTTAAATGACTAATTTTGAACTTTTTATTGTAAAGCTTTAATAGAGAATTGATACTTTAGTGTATTTATTTATTTATACAAATGTGTTTGCTAAATTAATATTAGTTATGCCATATTCTAAATTTATTGACATAAATACGAATGCTTGAAATCATATATACAAAAAGTGTAATTTTCTAAGCATATAGCTTATTTATGAATTATCTTATTACAATGAGTGTACATAAAATATTTTATATTTTTGTTCTTTGGTTTAATATTTCTACAGCTATAGAATATATAGAGTTAAATTGTAATTTCTCCAGGTATATTTTACCAATATGTAAGTTTACCATACTTATATCACCAATAGACCAGTACTTAATGAGAAATTTGAAATCGCCCACGACGTTTCTAAAACTTGATTTTTTCATAGACTGATAATTGCCAAAAATCAACAAGATTATGTGAATTTGTTTCATTTTAACAACATTAGAACAAATATATATATAAAAATTATGTCGGATAAAAGAAATATGTATAAAGTGTTTATAAAAATCATCATATGTATTCATACTATTTAAAAAAAAGTTAAATTGATTCTAAGATGAAATTATGAAATATAAAAACCAAAAATTACACCACAATAATAGTATGTTTTTAAAATAAAAATCTTTGTATGAAAGCAAACCTTATCAACTTAACTATTGAAAAACATTTTTCCTGGCCACTTCTTCTATATGTAATTGTCCCCTGAAATAAAACGAAATATATTATTTTGTTGTAAAAAATCAGCATTTATGTGTTATAATTTTATATTTAATTTTCTTTTTAAATTATTTACGGTGTAAAATAAAGTTTTAATAGAAAAATGTTAGTTTGGTGGATTTATTTATGTATACAAATGTATTTGCAAAATTAATTTTATTTATGCCATATTCTAAATTCAAATTCTAAATATATTGACATAAATACGAATGCTTACAATCATATATACTTAAAGTGTAATTTTCTAAGCATATAATTGGTTTTATGAATTTTCTTATTAAAATGATTGAATATAAAATATTTTACATTTTTGTTCTTTGGTTTAATGTTTCTATAGCTTTAGAATATATAGAGTTAAATTGTAATTTCTCCAGGTATATTTTGAATTATTTTAAACATAATGAAAAATACTTGCTAAAATTAGAAGAGGAAAAATCAAATATTTTGATTAGTGATTTACAAATATATGGACGAGCAATACAATCTCATGGTGAAATTGTAATTGCAATGTTAGAAGCTTTAAGATCAGAAGATTGGAGGGATTATCCATCATCTCTTATGAATGTAAATTTATACTTGAATAACGTTTCAGGATCTGTAGAAATGAGTTTTAAAAATAAAAATGGTAAATTTGATGATTCGAATAGAATATTAAATTTACTAGAAGGATTTTTAATGATACATAAAGCTATAGTAAAACGCTTGGAATGTTTTATCCTCAGCACATGTTCTGGTACATCTTTTGAGGAAGTATTTACGAATTGCCCGGATTTCAATAAGAAAAAAGATTATAGAATTAAATTTCTCCCTGATATTGTAGAAAAACTAAAAAACAGGTTTTCTATTACTGACTTGCAACTCAAAGATTACAGATTAAAATTAAAACACAGTGAAGTATTTAGAATATTGAAATTAGCAATGAAAAATGATTCTCGATGGGATTTCCATCCCAAAAAATTGTTATACTACGATTTAATGATGGGGCAGCAAATATTTGGTGAACGAAATCTCTTGTCTAGTGCACAATATAGAAAAATACCAGAAGTAAAAGATTGTCACGTCGTTAATGTTATAGACTATTTTAAATTTGCACAACTTACATATAAGTGTCCCGATGATTCTTATGTAACACTTTTTGACGTGTTTCGTTACATGAAATACAATTTTAATGCAAAACAATTACAAGGATATCAAGAGCTAGTGCTAGCTTCAACTATTCGGCCAATTTTATTAGTTGTCCGTATGTATATTTCATTTTTAAAAACATTTGATGATTTTTGCAAATCTTCGTGGTATGATAAAAGTAAAAATAATCTAGATCAAATCCGTATTAGCCTCACAGAAATTGGTACAGCAATAATTAAACAAATTAAATATTTCAATAAACAATTTATAATTCAAAAACTACCGAAAACTTATTTAAATAATATTTGTAATGATATTCGTAATATTATTGGTAAAGATATATCTCAGTCTTATCGTACATTGGACTGCATAATGTTATCTACGAAGACCTTTTTTTATAATAATAAACTAAATAATTATTGTGGTATAATAATGGATTATAAAACTACTCATTTTAATAATATTGTTCAACTCTATAACATGTTTTCCCAACGTGTTAGTGAAATGTCAACATACCTAATCGAACTGGACAAATACAAAGAGTCTCTTCATGTAGTGAATAAAACACGAAACATATCTTCCTTTTATTTTTCAAGGAGCAGTTATGAAATTTTCAAACCCTATTTAACTATGATAAGTAAGTTAAAATTTTTTTAAATATTATTTGGATAATAGCTTTTAAAGTTAAAACCAGATATTTCTAGGTAGTTATGATTAAAATTACATTGCCAAAAATACAAAAATTGTTATATATTTTTATTTTTAACTAAAAAAATTAATGACTATATAAAAAGCTATAATTCTGTCAAGCATTTCTTATATATTTTTAAATTATAATTATTATATTGATTAATTTTTATTATACATAAACATAAAAAATATAAATCTACATTAACGTTAATAAGATACTATTTCTTATTCACAATTTACGTTATTATTTTGAATATGTATCGGGTTGTAAATCATAAAATAACGGTGCTCTAATAGTAAGGTATATTTACGACGACTCGGGTCGCGAATTCTAATCCCTTAATGTACATCTTTTTCTCTAGTACACTTTTTATGACTAGCCTTGTTAATTATATAGTCGAAATAGAAATGTGCAAAATATGTATTTTAATTTTTATCATAACTATAAATTTATATAAAATCATTTAAAGCCATAAAAATTATTTAAAAATTGCATATTCTAAGCAAAATGATTATCATCATCATATTAATAATTTGTGAGTTAAATATTTTTTATATTAAATTATTTTTAGCTTAAAATTAATATTATAAAGATATTTTTTAATATTAAATACATTATGTTATTTTTGTATATGCAGTCATTTTATAAAAGTTTTGTTGTAATTTTTTCTAAAGCTGCTAACGTTCGCGATATAAAGTTGAAAGTTAAAATATATAACTAAAAACCTAAGTAACATCAGTTTTATATTTTTAAAGATAAATTAATATTTAGTCATTTTGGTTATTAACTATTTAGTACAGTCTGAAGTCGTCATCACCATAGCCTCTATCTTAATCATTTTGGGCTAAATCTGCCTAAACTAATCGGAAGCCAAAATGTTAAATAAGTAACAAAATTCCATAGATTCAAAGCGAATGTCTATTAATTATTATTAATTATTATTTTTAGCTTCGTTGCGAAACTGAAAAGTTATTAATTTTACAATGATGTCTTTATTTATTTATTTTTTTATATTGAGTCGTGCAAATTATTATCAAATATTATTTTATAGATCGGTTATGCAGCCCGAATATATACAATGAAATATATAACATGGAGACTACTGAATCTATTAATGATGAAACATCTAGAATTAATACGGTAAATCAAGATACTGTCGATAACGAAAAACAAACAGATATCCAAAATAATGAAGACTTATCAGAACTTAATATTCCACAGCCAAAATATATGATCGATTACATTTTATTTATACAATATTCATAATATTTCGTAAGTGGTTGTAATTTTGTTGATATTATTTTATTAATCAATTATACATATATATATATATGTGTGTGTATGTGTGTGCGTGTGTTATTATAAAATTCAATGTTACTTTTAGCTCAAATAAACTAAGTTACCTAAACATTAAGCGTTGTAATTAGAATTTTAAAAAAAACGATAGCATAGTGGAGTCACGGTATAAATATATTTTATAAACCAGGACAGTGAGGATGTGGTATTGTGTGGCAAGTATAGATGATATCTGACAGTGATTATAATTACTATCATAAGAAACACTTTGTAGTAAATAGATGAGGAAGTATTGAATTACGTCGATTTTAGTATATTATAAGCTTTACAATAGTAGTAAGCAATTTTTGAACTCTTAAGCAATATAATAATTCCATACAAAAGGGAAATGCATGGTAAGCAAATTAATAATGGTGGGAAAAAGAATATAAAAGGGAAACATGAAAAGTATAGGGAGGCTGGACGAGACTGGACGCTTTGACGAAGATACGTCGANGGCTGGACGAGACTGGACGCTTTGACGAAGATACGTCGAGTTACGGGTTAGGTCGTTGGTGTGCGAGTAACTTTGTATTTTTGTAAGACTTAATTAATTTTGTGTTAAATTTTTATATTATATTTGATTTTGTGTTTTTACTTCATATAAATAAAATAATTATTTAAAAATCTGTACTTGAGAGTAAATACTTTATATCCATCGTGATATTAAAATTTGTGTGTGTGCGGCAAGAGTCGAGGTTGGACTACTGGTCCTTTAGTCAATCTTAATAATTAGTGTGCGTGCTGGCTAGTTTTTGGGCTTAACCGTCCTTTAGTGGGTATAGTAAAAGGTAGTTGTGCTGTTAGTTGACAAGGAGCCACCCTTCAGTCTGCTACATTTGAGCTAGACCGTGCTAACGGGTCTAAACTCTACCCCTTTAGTAGTTCACTAATTTGAGGGATTGGTGCTGATCAGTTTATCGGTTTATGGGTCTGGGGCGGAGTCCCAGCTAGGCGTAGAGTAGTATTTTAATAATTAATAAACATCGTGGTTGCCATTTATAAAAACTTAATTTTTAATTTGATACACATGTTTGTACATCATACAATTAGTACATGGATATAATCCTTTCATTTAAATATATGTATTCAAATAACATACGAAAACAGTGATAACAATAACTAAATCTCCTTTTGAAAAATAATAATAAAATATTATATAAAAAATATTTGGTATTTTACATTTAAAGTTCAATAAATTCAACAATTTTTTTTTTATTAATTGTTATTATCTGTATGACACCGTGACAAGACCGCCGCCGAATATGGATGACTGATAATGCTTTCTGTTCCGTTTCCGACGTTAGCTTTGAATAGTTGTTGCGTATATCTTTTCCTATTGTTGGACTTTCGTTTCTTTTCTTTTCCACCTCTCGTTAGAGACGTATACGTATGTATATATATATATATATTTTCGTGTGCCTATTGCGGTATTAAGTTTGCTACATATCGATAAATAAATAAATATATATATTGTGTGGTGCAAAGTGATTTAGTGGATTCGTGCCAACTGGACCTATTGGATTCGCGTTAATATATACAATAGAACTTAATAAGGGCAACATATTATTGTTGTCTTTGACGCGGCCACGGTGTTATCACCCGTTTGACACCCCGCGGTCATGTCAGCTCTTTCTCAGCCTCCGCTCCATTGTAAACCGGACCGTTATACACACACGTTATAGTCGTGGTGTAAAGTCCAATAAATGCCTAGCGTTGAATATCCGCTGCATTAATGCGTTAGTCAGTCATCTTCGTGATACCAAAAGCGATCCGTCGTCCGTCTATTTTGAACACCGGCCTATCTTTCGATTTCTCACCTCAAGTCGTCAACTTCTTTTAGTGAAAAGTTATTATAAATTGTTTCTCTGATACCTTTATTATCTTGGTTTCTTGTTTTTTATTTTTATTGGATAAACTTGATAGACATGCGGAAATATTTAAAAAAACCTTCGGGTTAATGCCGTAATGTTAAAAACATTTTTAAAATTGTCTCTCTTTTGACCATTTTAAATTAATAGGATGTACCCACCAACGATGCTTATATTTTTCACTTTTTTCCGAGCTTGGTGGTTTTTATTTAAAGTGTACACCAAATAAACCGCTTCTTGCAAAATCAAGTCAAATTTTTTTAAATCATACACTTAAAAAATAACAAATATGATGACTGACTAGTCAAATGAAAAAAGTTAGAAACGTCTCTGCAATGTTTTACTATATTTTTCCCACGCGTCGCAAACGCATCATTATAATAGCTTAATGTGTAAGCAAAGCAGCGTAACGTCTTAAACGCGCGTTTTAAAAACGCTCATTCAAAAACGGGTAGTGAGAAACCACTTTATGTACCATATACGGAAGGATTATTAACTTGATCAAGTATATTGTATGTATAGCGTTCACCATGACAGCAATAGTTCTGTTTTTTGATTACAAGACGGGATATAACGTACGCGAGCCCATTGGGAGAGCGAAACATTAAATTTATCTACACCATAAGAAATAATAATAGATATAAAGGTTCACATTTTGTCACGTTACAGATTATATAAGTTTTTAACATTATTAAAATAATGACAACNACAATAAAATCATCGTCGGAATTAGTATTATCACTAGAATGGTTTTCTTCTGTACTTAATGATGTAAAATCATAAAAATTACTCAAATTTTGATTAGTAACTTTTTCTTTATAGAGTTGTTGTTTTTCTTTTCGTTTATCTTTACGATTCTCTTTTTGCGTGGTAAAAACGTCCACTGTAGACATAAAACCTCTTCTCCCTGGCATCCGTTGTGCCAGTAAAAACTGTCTATCTTCATCAATTTTAATTTTTTTTAAAGCATCAGCATCAGCGATATCGAAGAGATTGGTCAATTTTATATGAAACCCACATTCGTGTTGTCGGTGAAGCTCTGTTTTTCTATTTTTATGTTTGAAAAGATTTAGCCATTGATTATAAAGTTTTTTAAACTTATTTATAGCATTATCTTTTCGAGTTGTCGGTATTCTTGCTTTATTCCAAACAAATGTAACTTCTTCGATCACTTTATTGCATGCATATTTAAACAAATTTTTTCAATACGATAAATATGAAAGAAAAACCGTAATACTTCACCATTAGACGGCAAACGATTACTTGGTACAGTTGAAATAGGCTGACCAATTAAATAAATATAAGTATTACTTCGCGTTGTCATTTTTAATTTACTGAATAAATATATGTATAATTAAATTAGCACTGATTCACATTTAAAGCACACTGACAATTAACAATTAGAGTGACACGAACATCAAAACAGCGCACTGTCAACTAAAATATAATTCTACAATGATAATAGACGTATATCAACCTTTAATATATAGTCATAGTATAATAAGTTATAAACTGTACAATACATAGGAATAACCCTGTCAGAAGTATAGATAAAATGTTTTATTTATTGATATAGTAATAATACAGTCGTATAAGAAAATATTACAATTGCAATAATACTAATATTTATAAGTATAGTATAGGAAAAATACCGTAGGTTATTCTGTACAATAAAAACTTTAAATTGCTTGGGATGGCTCAAAAATAATTTTTTTTCATAAGTATAAATGTGGAAACTATTTTTAAACTCTAGAAAACAAATTTAGATGGTAGGAAGACAACATTTTTTTAAGTAATTTTTTTAGACCACCCTAATGTACATATATATATTTTCGTGTACCACCGTGTGCCTATTGTGGTATTAAGTTTGCTACATATCGATAAATAAATAAATATATATATTGTGTGGTGCAAAGTGATTTAGTGGGGATTCGTGCCAACTGGACCTATTGGATTCGCGTTAATATATACAATAGAACTTAATAAGGGCAACATATTATTGTTGTCTTTGACGCGGCAACGGCGTTGTCACCCGTTTGACACCCCGCGGTCATGTCAGCTCTTTCTCAGCCACCGCTCCATTGTAAACCGGACCGTTTGATGTATTCGAGGTAGTAATTATAATAATAATGACAACAACAATAATAATAAGTAAACCAATAGCGTTTTTTATTAGTCACTACAACAATAATCTTAATTATCCAATAATTAAATAAAATTATCTTTAGTTCCTCATGAAAGGTCAACGTGACAGATCGAAGAAGAAAAAAACGAAATCAATAATATCCAGCACCGAGCGACCGGTTCTCACCGCCCGTCGGTCACCGCAAATAGCGCGACCTGTCGGACGTGAAGAGGAAGCGCCGCGATCGCCATCCGGTGGTAACACCGGAAATGAGAAGCGACCGCGACATACTCCCCCCCCAGTCCGACTGGTCGGCCCTACAGCGTGCCTAGGGCAGCTGGTCAGGCGGAACGTCCTCCAGCCCTTCAACATCGGACATATAGATGGGGGGCGCGTTCAGTATATTGTCGATGTCCGGCTCCACCTCCATCTGCTCCACCATGTCGGGCTGTATAAAATGGCATAGGGTCGGATCTGGTCGATCACCTCCCACAAATACGACCGGCAGACTATGGCGACGGTTTCCGTTCGTATCTAATACATCCAAAACCCCGTGCCGCCCTCCGACCTCCCTCTCCGAGATCACTCTCTGGCGAGGTATTTGACGTGGTGGCACAGTAAGTGTCTGGCTTGGTGCCCCAGCGTGTAATATCACTGGTTCTTGAATCACTGTTCGAGCTGGGAACTGTGTCCGTTCCGGAGTCCGGTTGGAACGAGGACGGAAACGACCGTTCTCGTCGCGCATATTGTGACGGTTAGTCACCG